TTTTGTATCAACTTGACACAGATAAAGTCATCTGAGAGGAGGAAGCCTCAATTAACAAAATGCCTCTATAAGAGTTGGTTGTAAGAAGACATGTAAGCCATTTTCTTAATAAGTGAATGATGAGAGAAGGTCCAGACCATGGTGAGTGCCATCCCTGGACTGGTAAATTACACAATGGAGTACTAATCAGCAGAAAAAAACAATGGAATCTTGAAATTTGCAGGAAAAATGGATGGAACTCGAAGAAACCATTCTGAGTGAGGTAACCCAATCACAAAACGCCAAACATGATATGTACTCACTCATATGTGGACCTGCTTTATGATACACAGTAGTGACCGTGCTTTATCAGAGCTGTTTTTAATGATGTTGCTCAGAATGGTTTCCTCCCAGATGATGACAGAGAAACTAATTAAAAAAAAATGGTGCCAAGTACCACAAGAATAACAGAACTGTGCTGTCTTCTGGGATTTTGTTTTTTACTTTTTTGTTGTTGTTGTTTGTTTTTTTTGTTTTTGTTTGTTTTCTGTTTTTTTAAAAATGGAGTGTGCTGGATGTTTCTACAATTTTGTTCAAAGGACTACAGAACCTGGAAAAGCTGTTGCTGCTATTGATGCATAACATATTGCCATTATTGCTCTTTTTATATAAATATAAACATATACACATATATAAACTAAAAAAATAAAAAGAAAAAAAATATTCTACGACAGCTGACCTTATTTAACAGAATTTAAAATCACCCAGGAGACACACCTCTACATGTGTCTGTGAGGGCATTTCCATACAGATTTAACTCAAGAGAAAAGATACAATCTGAGTGTGAAAACAATGATTGCCTCCTTCTCAGAATCCACCAGTAGTCAGCCAATAGTGCAGCAATGTGGAGTATGGTACTCTAATTACTTTTCTTTTCATGCTCAGTGGCTACAAAACCCAGTCTTGTACAGGCCCAATGTAGGCAACCACAGTTGCTGTGAAACTATGTCTTAGTTACTGTTCTGACATGAGAATACACCATGATCAAGGCAATTCTTACAGAAGAAAACATTTAATTGGGGGCTTGCTTACAGTTTCAGTGGGTTCTACCATGTTCAGCATGAAGACATAGTGCTGGAGCTTTCCATCCTGATTGGCAGGCAGCAGGCAGAGAGAGATAGAGACAGAGACAGAGACAGAGACACAGAGACAGAGACAGAGAGACAGAGAGAGACTGGGTCTGGTGTGGGCTTTTGAAACCCCAAAGCTTACCCCTAGGGACATACTTCCTCCAACAAGGCCACACCTCCTAATACTTCCCAAAAAATTCCACCTCTGATGACTAAGTATTCAAATATAGGAGCCTATAAGCAATTCTCATTCAAAATACCACATTGACTACAATGGCTGTGTCATGCCCAGAACATAGCATTTTCTAGCCCTTCTCCCTGTCTTCTCATTCTTAAATTCTTTGTGCTCCCTTTTTCTAATATTTCCTGAATCTTAGAAGGAATAGTGTAGGTTTTGTTTAGAGCCCAGCCCTTAGCTGTCACTTATTCTCAGTACCTTGAGAAGTCACTGACTCTCTACATTTACCGAAGTTCATTGTAAAGGGAAACTTCTCTGGGAACAGCTGGCTAGGGATGTAGCCTTTGTCTATGAGTGTAAATATAAATATTTAGAAGGCAGTTGGTGTCAGGTCTCTTTAGCTAAACAACTCTAGTAAGTTTCCTCAAAGGGGCCTACAGCCTCTTCAACCATGGGTTTTTGACTGGCTTTACAGAACCTGTGGAGTGAGCCTCAAATCCAATCAGCAAGTGGTTTGTTACTACCTTAACAGTTATGCCACCATTACATCAGTGGGAACTCCTTGCCTTGGGGGTTAGTATTGTACAGTTCATAGAGTTCACATCTGGATAATTGATGCCTTTTCTCCTCCAACAGCTTGCACAGTACCTTTCAGCACTATAGAAATTAGCCAACAGGGAGGAAGTTACCAAGCTAAGTTCTAGTTTGATTTCTCAATATCTTGCATCAAAGGTGTGTAGTATTGTCTTAGTTAGAAATTCTGTTGCTGTATTGAAACACCATGACCATAGAGCAGGTTGGAGAGGAAAGGTTTGTTTTAAACTTCCACATTGCATTCATTACCAAAGGAACTCAACCAGGGAAGGCTCCTGGAGGCAGGAGCTGATGCAGAGACCATGGATGTGTGCTTACTGACTTGCTTCCCATGGCTTGCTCAGCCTGCTTTCTTATAGGACCCAGGACGACCAGCCCAGGGATGGCACCACCCACCATGGGCTGGGCCCTCCCCCATTGATCACTAAATGAAAAAAATGCCTTACAGCTGGATCTTAGGGAGGCATTTCCTTAACTAAGTCTTCTTCTTTGATGACTCTAGCTTGTGTCAAGTTGACACACAAAACCAGCCAGTACAAATATCTTCGGCAATGTGGTCTTATCTATCAGCTTGTTCTGATGGGTAACCCAGCAGAATGGTGTCTTACTTAGGGTTTCTATTGCTGTGACATTTGTGATGGCTTGGTTACAATTTCAGAGGTTTAGTCCATTATCATCATGACAGGGAACATGGTAGCACTTAGGTAGACATGGTACTGGAGAGTCTCACATCTTGCAGGCAACAGGAAGTTGACTGACACACTGGTATCCTGAGCATAGGAAACCTCAAAGCCTGTCTCCACAATGACACACCATACCCACTCCAACAAAGCCACACCTTGGAATACCTTGCCTAAAGGAGATTAGCCTAAAGGAAAGAGGGCAGGATCTGGTCTTCTCCTCTGTCGAATGTATTATGTGGAGACTGGAGACATTACTTCCCCCCTCCTTTTTTTTAATCTTTTGAAGTTACATTTTCAAGGAGCTGTGAGTGTGCTCCACAACTCCTCATCCCCGAGGATTACAATGAACACCTGTTTTCTGATCATTTTTCTATTGAGTACAAAATAGCTGAAATGCCTTACCAATATATCCAGATCCATGTCTGTTCTTTATCATTTTTGAAACTCCCATGTAAGCAAAACATTTTTAGAAACCTGAATATCTATCAATTGCCATGTGCACATATTTTAACTTGCCAAATTCTGTAATATGAGTAGCATCCATTTGCCATAAAGGATTAGAAAGTAGGCTTCGAGGGTTCAATCCTAAATTAGCCACAGGTAGATACTGTGGGCACCCTTCGCATTGTTTGATAATTTGGCAAGCGGTCTCTCTGGTTAAGCCAAATTGTTTTCTTAAACTTTTGTTTTGGTGATGAAAGTTATGAGACCACAGAGTTTTCTCTGAGACAAATCAACCACTTTGCCAATCAGTCCTTTGACTTGCTCCCTTTAGCCAGTAGGCAGGGAAAGGCCTGAATGGGCTTCCAATGTGACCCACAAAACATGGCAATTTTCTTAGGTGAATAACATTCTGAATTTGCTCAAATATTTTAACCTGCTCAGTTACTGGTTCCTATGCACGGAACTGTCTCTATCACCTGAAGAGCCTTAAAGACATAGTGACTATCAGTATACAAATTAAATCATTTACTAGGAGCTGAAAAGACGTTGCAACAGTTCGTAATTTGACTATTTGAACTGAAGCCAGAATCATCTGTTCTACATATTTTTTTCACCAATAACATAAGCTGTTCTTTTATTAGAAGAACCATCAGTAAAAACTAACACAGCATTTTTATAGAACTGCTTTTTACAATTTTGGGAAATATAAAAGGATGCATTAGAGTAAATTGTAACAGTCTATGAGCTGGAAACTGATTATCAATTCCCCCTGAAAACTGAGCAAAGGCAATTGCCCACGAATCACTGTTCAGAAACAACCAATCAACCTGTAATTATAGAACCTTCATCCAGTAACTGATGGAAGCAGATGCAGTGACTCACAATCAAGCACTGGAATGAGCTCCTGGAGCTTAGTTGAAGAGAGGAGGGGGTATCATGTGAGCAAGGGAGTGGGGTCAAGATCATGATTGGGGAAAACCACAGATTGGGGTCAGCTCAGCTGACCTGAGCTAGTGGGAGCTCAAGGACTCTGGGATGACAGTTGGGTATCCTGCATGGGACTGAACAAAGCCCTCTGAATGTGGATGACAGTTATGTGGCTTGATCTGTTGGGGGGACCTTGGCAGGGGGACCAGGAATTATCCTGGGTACTTGACGGGGCTTTTTGAAGCCCATTTCCTATGGTGGGATACCTTGCTCAGCCTTGATATTGCGGCGTGGGGTGGGGTTGGTCCTGCCTCAACTTGGTATACCAGATTATTAACTACCTAAGGGAGGGAGGCCTAAGGGAGTGGGTAAGAGGCAGGATGGGGGAGCTGGAGAAGGGGAGGGATGGGAACTGGGGCTAGCATGTAAAATGAAAAAAATAAAGAAAAAATGTTTTGCCAAAAAACGAAAGAAAGAAGAAAAGAAAAATCACCAAAGCAGTATTCTGCCCTTGCAACTACTGATGGGAGTGGGAAGGTGTAAACACCCTGTATGGAGATTCTGAAAGGATTTGTTTGCTCATTGAGATAGGATCTAACTGTGTCAACCAGGTTGGCTGGGCACTCAAGATCCTGGCCTCATCAAAGTTAGACTTCTGAGACTAGTCTTCAGCAGCCTGAAGATCCACTCTAAGGGAGTTGCGTTTCAAGACTGTGAGACGTTGAAGGTCTAGTAGTTCACGAGCTTGGCATGCGCACTGAGCACTGTTGGTTGCCTGGGGTGATTGGTGCTTGAGGTCCCCCCTGGAGCATGCGCAAAGGGTGGCGTTGCTGGGCAACGACAGTCCTGCCAACTGCCTAAGAGGTGGAGGGATGTTAAACCTTGGGGCTCCTCTTTGGGCGCATTCTGGCGCGATTCCAAGACTTGGTTGGCTCTACACCGGGACTGGCAGTGGCTAAGACTGCGACCAGGAGGGACTGGGTTACTGTGAGCTCTGAGACTGCTAATGGGAGGGAGTAAGGCATTATAAACAGGAGTCTAGGGTGAAGGGCCACAGTCTAAGCCATGAAGAAGCTCTTCAAGGGCTATTCGCCCTGGGGCTTCCTGAGCTTTAGGCACGAGAACCAAGAACCACCGTGGTACCTCACTGGGTACACGCCTGTGAAAAAGATCCACAAAGCCGCAAGCATGGGGGACATAACCCAAGTGCAGAGGATGCTCGAGTTTGGGGATGTTGACGTGAACATTACGGACCGGAAGAAGAGGTCAGAGAGCGTGAGGTTGGGGGGGGGGGGGGGGGGGGGGGGGCCGAGGGGGGGGGGGGGGGGACACCATCTTCCCGGTCTTGGCTTCAGGGTAGAGGAGAAGGGAGGCTGAGGTCCGCTTTCACGGGGACACTGGGCTTAATTCCCACCACAGACAGGCTCCTCAACACCCGAAACCTGCACACCCTGGGTGGGTCTGGAGCCCAGGCATCCTTCATGAGAAGCAAAGCAAAACTTAAACCTTAGTTGTTTCCAACCCCCATGTAATTCTGCTCTGAGAGCATTTTATTGACAATTTAAATGTGATTTCACCCGCAAAGTTGAGATACACAGCATTTTCTTTAAATGTGCACATGGAAAAATTCCTAATGCTATGGGTACCAGGACACAAAACCCATTCAACAAAAATCCTATATCCATTTTATTCCACGGGAACCTAGGAATACATGTTATTTCCTGAGGGACTTTACATGGAAGCTCAAGTGAGAGGCTAGTTCCATGGTTTTCTTCACAGTCTGTTCTTTGGGGTGGCCATCTTCACTTAGTTCTTCTGCCTCAGCTTAGTTCTTCTGGCCCCCAGGCGGTACAGTTTGATTAGCATCGGTCCTCGTCACAGGGCGGGTGATGCTCTGAACTTCCCACAAGCGCCTCATTACTTTAGTTGCTTCCTCGATGCCAAAGCAGATGATTCACTAGAGGCTTGTTCATCTTTGAGACCATCAAAACCATGTTGCTTCCCAATGTGCTCCCTACTTCAGGCAGACCACAGTCACCAACACTTTCCAGATCTCCTTTACAAAATTGTCCACTGTCTCTGTTGCGATGTCATCTCGTTTGGGGTCATCCAGGTTTCTCTGTGCTCCATTCCCAGCACTGCTAAGTAGAAAGAAAGAAATTCCAATAGGCTACTCTGCTTCAGAAGAAAGGTGAATGCAGTCCCTGCGCAGCAGTCTCGTCGTAACGCTGTAGAATAGTTTTCAGGCATGCACTCTGTCTTTCACAGGACGGCTCTGCATTATGCCTGTGCTCATGGCCAGTCAGAAATGGTGGCCCTCTTGCTATGGTATGACTGCAACATTGAAGCCCGAGACCGTGATGAAAGTACAGCTCTGATCAAGGTAATTAGGAGCCAACAAGTGCAGCAGTAGATGGGCTAGTACAGTCCCCGGATGTTCAGGTGTGGGAGGCAGACGTGGGGCCTGTATCTGGCTTATCAGAGACAGAGGCATAAGGACCGTGATTCGACACAAGCCTGAGATGTGAGAGTTTCATTACAGCCTGGGAAACATGAGAAAGCAGTCTCAAAACTTTTTTTTTTTTTTTTTTTTTTTTTTTGCCTGAATAATGAATTTCTGGCATTGAAGTGTAACTTTGGTGAAACTTGTGAAAGATTATCTGGAATTTCCATAGTTGACAGTCTTTCCCCTGGGACAATCCCCACAGGCCACACAGCGCCAGCATGAGGAATGTGTAAAGATTCTCCTGGAGAATGGTGCTGACCCAAACGCCATTGATGCATATCAAAACGCTGCTCTCCACTATACAGTTTACAACAACACTGTCTCCATAGCCGCCAGACTTCTGGCGTTCAATGCAGACACTGAAGTGAAGACGAAGGTAACACCCAACTTTATTTCCCAAATACTTGAAAGGCATTTACCTGGAACTATTTCCACATATAGAAGCTAAAGTGAGTATTCCTTGACTAAAAATCTGTGTATCCATAAAAATATTTGAGAAAACTGTATTAATATAAGTTAAATGGAAAATAGATGCATGTTTTTCAAGTATGTCACCAAAGGTTTCTTAATTGTCTTAATTAGGGTTTCTATTGCTATGACAAGACACTACAGAAACTCTTAAGGAAAACATTTAATTTGAGGTGGCTTACAGTTTCAGAGATTTAGTCTATTGTCATGGCAGGATCTGGTGGCATGCGGGCAGATGTGATGCTGGGGAAGGAGCTGGCAGGCAAGAAGAAGTAAATGAATGTCACACTAGACCTAGCTTGAACATTTAAGACCTCAAAGCCCATCCCTAGTCACACACTTCCTCCAACAAAGCCACACCTCCTAATAGTGCCACTTCTATGAGCCTATGGGAGCCATTTTCTTTCAAACCACCACAATTGGTAAAACATGTTTTTAATGAAAGGAAAAGATTTGTTGTGTAAAAACTCCCTTTGTCCATAATCACTTAGATATGTAGATGAAAACTCAAAGACTAGAGTCAAGGTGACCCAGAAACAGTTGTCCACACCTAAGCTTAAGGACGCTTCTGCAGAGGCTCAGGTAACTGAATCCCACTTCCTGTGAGCCCATGGGTCTGCCTATGGACAAGACATCACTTATATAAAACACCCATGTGTTCTCCAGCTTACCACCAAAGTTTCCTCTGTGTTCTGAAGTTTGCATCTTCTATTTGAAGCATAGCATTAATAAGATTTCATGGTTTGCAACATTGTTTCTATTAATGTGTGAAGAAAATACACACCTGTACTTAATGTTAATCTCTTAGAAATAACTCTGCTGTCTAAAATGGAACTAGAACCATAGAGAATTTTAAATAGTGTATTTTCAGGGGTACAATGTTCTAGTTCTGTGTGAGGTAAAATGTATTGTACTTAATACTGACACACCAACCTTTCATCTTGTACTGAGTGATTAAACTCCATCAGAAGCCTATGAATTTTAATGCAGAGTTGTAGGGGCCCATTTTGGAACAGCATCAAATGACTTTGGAAGGATCAAATATGTCTTTCCTGTGACTTGGTGGAAATGTATTATTAGAATACTAAACAATGTATTGCATTCTTCAACAAATAGGACTATTTCTCTAAATATAGAAGATCTCTTCCTCCAGAATTTGTAACATGAAGCCTTGCAGCGTTCTCCAAACATTATCGCAGTGCTGTCTGCTGGGCTGATATTTTCAGAGAGTAAAAACTGCTAGAGGGAGAGCAATCTTAATTAATTCAAGAAAAGCACTTCGATCCTAAGCTCCCTGTCACTGTGGAAAAGACAGCCCTGACTTCAGGCAGCTCCTAACTTATTTGGCACAGCCTGATAGGGTGTGCACCGTGCTGATGGAAACAGAGAAGACTGGCCATCTCTGGAAAGGGACAGTCACTGTCTTTGTTAGGGTTTCTATTGCTGTGATAACACACCATGACCAAAAAGCAAGTTGGGGAGGAAAGAGTTTATTAGGCTTACACTTCAGCATTGCTGTTCATCACTGAAGGAAGTCAGGACAGGAACTACCTACACCAGTTGGAAGAACAGGTGAGTGACTGCTCTCCCAGGAAAACAGCCCCCAAAGTCTAGGCCCTAAGCCCCAGGGCACATCCCTCCCATCTCAGCCCTAGCAAGGCAGCCGGGCCCAGCCCCACATTCTGGTGGATCTCCACTTCTTTGGAGCAGTCTCCAGCAGCTGGCCAGCAGGTGAGAGACCTGCAGGCAGGCTTCACCACCACCCCTGACACCCACTGGACTTTGTAATCTCTACATCCCACTCTGCTGCCCAAACTCATCATCCTCCCCTTGGCCAACCATCCATTGCAATGTCAGAAGCCCCTGTATAAACATTAATTACATCAGTTGGAAGAACAGCAGACCCTATAGGCACAAAGGCCACCCACACCAGTAGGAAGAACAGACTCTAAAGCACAGGTAAAGCCCACATAAGCCAGAAGAACTGGAGAAGATGCTGCATTTAGGCACCCAAACCCCCACAAACCTGTTGAGAAAACCCTACTGGACCTGAGGACCAGACAACCACCAGAACCCTTGGCCATTCAGACCAAAAGACAATAAAGGAAACAGACAATAAAGGAACAAAAGGACCATCCAACAAAGACTTCACAAGAATCACCACCTGTACCTATCTCAAACCTAGATGGGTAAATAGCAGACAAGCAACAACATAAAGGGCAATACGGCAGCACCAGGACCCAGTGGTCCTACAACAGTAAGACTGGAACATCCCAATGCAGATGAAGCAGAAAAAACAACCTTTAAAATAACTTTATGAAGATGATAGTAAATGAAAAATTCCCTTAAAGAAAACTGAGAAAAGGGCTAACAAAAATTGTAGGAAATCAATAAATCCCTTAAAGCCAAAAAAGCCAAGAAAAAAATTAAACAGGTGAAGGAAACAGTTCAAGACTTGAAAATTGAAATAGAGACAATAAGGAAAACACAAACTCACCAGGTGGTGGTGGCTCATGCCTTTAATCCCAGCACTTGGGAGGCAGAGGCAGTAGGATCTCTGTGAGTTCGAGACCAGCCTGGTCTACAAGAGCTAATTCCAGGACAGGCTCCAAAGCTACAGAGAAACCCTGTCTCAAAAAACCAAAAACCAAAACAAAAACAAAATAAAACCCACAAACTGAGGGAATTCTAGAAATGGGAAATCTGGGTAAGTGAACAGGAACTGCAGATGCAAGAATTACCAACAGAATACAAGAAATGAGAGAATCTCAGGTATTGAGGATACAGTGGAGGAAATAGATTCATTGCTCAAAGATAATGGAAATCCAAAAAATTATTAACACAAAACATCCAAGAAATCTGGTCATCATGAAATGACCAAACTTAAGACTAATAGAGATAGAAGAAGGAGAATTCCAGCTTAGAAGCACAGAAAAATATATTCAACAAAATCATAGAAGAAAACTTTCCCAATTCAAAGAAGGGCATGCCTATGAAGGTATGAAGCTTACAGAACACCAAATTGATTGGACCCACCCCCAAAAAATGTCCCCTCACCACATAATATTAAGAGCTGCAAAGGAAAAAGGCCAGGTAACATATAAAAGCAGACCTGTCACAATTACACCTGACTTTCAATGGAGACTCTAAAAGGCAGAAAGAAGGTCCTGGACACTTAAGAGACCACAGATGTCAGTCCAGACTAATATACCCTGCAAAACTTCACCGTGGACAGAGAAAACAAGATATTCCATGAAAAAAAAGCAGAATTAAACATACCTATCCATAAATCCAGCCCTACAGAAGTATTAGAGGGAAAATCCCAACCCAAGGAAGTTAGCTGCACTCATAACAACACAGGCAATAGATAATCTCACACTAACAAAACCCAAAGAAGGAAAACACACATAGACACACCGACAGCCCCACCACACTACCACCACTGTCACCAAAATAAAAAAAAATAACAGGAATTAACAATCACTGGTCAATAATAGCTCTTAACATCAATGGACTCAGTTTACCTATAAAAAGACACAGGCTAACAATGGATATGAAAACAGGATCCATGCTTCTGCTGCATACAAGAAACACATCTCAACTTCAAAGACAAACATACCTCTGAGTAAGGAGATGGGGAAAAGGTTTTCCAATCAAATGGACCTAAGAAGCAAGCTGGTGTAGCTATCCTAAGTATTTAACAAAATAGACTTCAAACTAAAATTAGTCAATAGAGATAAAGGATATTTCATATTCATCACAGGAAAAATCTATCAAGATGAAGTCTCAATTCTGAAATTTATGCCCCAAATACAAGGGCTCCTACTTTTGTAAAAGAAGCATTACTAAAGCTTAAATCATACATCAAACCCCACACAGTAATAGTGGGAGACCAACACCCCACTCTTACCAATGGACAGGCCTGCCAGACAGAAACTTGAGAAGTAAGGGAACTAAAGATGTTATGACTCAAATGGACTTAACAGACATCTATGGAACATTTCACCCAAACACAAAACACAAAAGAACATATCTTCTTCTCAGCACCTCATGGAGCCTTCCCTAAAATTGACCACATACTCCATTACAAAGCAAATCTTAATGGATACAATAAAATCAGTATAACTCCATGTATCTTTTTGGATCACCATGGGATAAAGTTAGAATTCAACAACAACACAAACTACTGAAAGCCTACAAACTCATGGAAATTGAACAACTCTCAATTGAATTACCACTGGGTCAAGGAAGAAATAAGAAATTAATGATTTCCTAGAATTCAATGAAAATGAATGCAGAAAATGCCCGAACTTATGGGACACAATGAAAGCAGTGCTAAGAGGAAAGTTCATAGCATTAGTGCCTACATAAAAAATTTGGAGAAATCTCACACTAGTGACTTAGCACTAGTAACTTAGCACACGTGAAAGCTCTAGAAGCAAACTCACCCAGGAGGAGTAGAAACAAAAAGAACAATGCAAAGAATCAATGAAACAAAATCAACAAGGTAGACTAACCCTTATCCAAACTAACCAAATGGCAGAGAGAGAATATCCAAATAGTCAGAATGAAAAGGGGGACATAACAACAGACAGATTCTCTGAGGAAATCCAGAGAATCATCAGGTCATACTTCAAAAATCTTTACTCCACAAAATTGGAAAATGTGAAAGAAATGGGCAATTTTTGGATAGGTACTACATACCAAAATTAAATCAAGACCAGATAAACAATTTAATATAACTATTACCCCTTAAGGAAATACAAGCAGCCATTAAAAGTGTACCAACACAATAACAAAAAAGTCCAGTGCCAGATTGTTTCAGCACAGAATTCTACCTGAACTTCAAAGAAGAGCTAATACCAATACTCCTCAAAGAAGGGACATTTCCAAATTCTTTTTATGAGGCTACAGTTACCCTGATACCCACCTACACAAAGATGCAACAAAGAAAGAGAATTACAGACCAATCTCCGTCATGAACATCGATGTAAAGATACTCAATAAAATACTGGCAAACCAAATCCAAGAACACATCAGAAAAATCATCCACCATGACCAAGATACAGAGATGCAGGGGGTGGTTCAACATATGAAAATTCACCAATGTAACCCACCATATAAAACAAAGTAAAAAAAAAAAAAAAAGCCACATGATCATCTCATTAGAAGCTGAAAAAGCCTTTTACAAAATCCAACACCACTTCATGATAAAAAATCTTGGAGAGATCAGAGATACAAGGAACAAACCTAAACATGTTACTTCTGTTTCACTCTGCTAAAGGGGAAGCCCCTGCAGAAATGTAGCAATCTCCTCAGGCTCTGGAGTAAAGCTACTTTTTCTGCTCAATTCCCAAGGGAGTGTCCTAGCAGATGTAACTGTTTCTTCTGGCTTTTCTTCTCAGCCCCCCTAAGAGAATGTCTCAACAAAGGTTCTTTTCTTCACCAAGTAAAGAAGATCTTTACCCAAAACTATTCTAAGAAAGAGATTCATTTGGGAAGGAGTAGTCCAGGAGAGTGGCTGCCTCTGCCAGGGTGGGAAAGGACAGCCAGCAATTGAACAAACAGAGGGCTTCTTAGGGGCAGAGTTTTCCCAGTGATATTTTCTGCTCAGGGATTGGTGAGTTTCCCTGCTCAGGAATTAGTTTTAGTTGGTCAGGGGCAGAGTTGGCTCTGGTTTCAGGACCAACCTGTATTTCTTCCACTGGTCTTTTTAAGCCTTTTGCCTCTAGTTTTGGGCCAGGGCATATTTCTTTCAGTGGCTCTGGATCCAGAGCCAAAGTGTATTTCTTTGGCTCTGCTTTCAGAGTCAGGGTGTTTTTCTTAGGTCCTGAGTTCAGGGCTAAAGTGTTTCTTCCACGGCTCAGATTTCAGATCCAGGGTGTATTTCTTTCACTGGCTCTGTGTTAGGGATCAGAGTGCTCAGGGATTGGTTGGTTTCCTGTTCAGGGATTGATTGGTTTTCCTGCTCAGGGATTGGTTGGTTTCATGTTTCAGTTGGTCAGGGGCAGAGTTGGCTGGTTTCAGAGCCAAACTGTTTCTTTCACTGGACCTTTTTTTTTTTTTTCTTTTTGGCTCTAGTTTTGAGCCAGGGCATTTTCCTTTCAGTGGCTCTGGTTCCAGGGCCAAAGTTTGTTTCTTTCACTGGTTCAGGGTCAGAATGTTAGATTTTGTGCTCAGGAATTGGTTTTATTCTTTGGCTGGCCCTTTTATCTTACACAAACTTGTACAGCCACTTTGGAAGTCAATATGGTGGTTTCTTAGAAAATTGGAACTCAATCTTCTTTGAGACGCAGCTATACTAATCTTGGACATATACCTAAAGGATGCTCAATTATATCACAAGGTCACTTGCTCATGTTCATAGCAGCATTATCCATAATAGCCAGAGCCTGAAAACAACCTAGATGCCCCTCAACCAAAGAATGGATAAGGAAAATGTGTTACATTTACACAATGGAGTATTACTCAGCTGAAAAAAAAAAAACAATGACCTCATGAAATATGCAGGCAAATGTATGGAACTAGAAAAAAAATCATTCTGAGTGAAGTAACCCAGACCTGGAAAGACAGTCATGATATGTACTCACTCATAACTGGATAATAGGAGTAAAGTATAGGATACCAACCTACAATCCACAGCCCCAGAGAGGTTAGTTAGATAACAAGGTGGGGGGCAAAGAGGGATGCATGGATTTCCCTGGGAGGGGGAAAAAGAAGAGATCTCCTGGGTAAACTGGGGGTGGGGAGGAGGGAATGAAGGGATGGGTACTTGAGGGACTGGGTTGGGCAGGTTGGGTACAGGGAGCAGGTTAGAGGCTGACCACTGGGAAGAGTAATAAAGAGACATGCATTTTGGGGTTAGGGAGAAACCTGGTCTAAGGAAACACCCAGAAATCTATAAGGAGAACCCCAGCTAAAATTCCTAGTATAGTGGAGAGGGTGCCTGAACTGGCCGTCTACTGGAATCAGATTGGTGGCTACCCTAATTGTCATCAGAGATGCTCTATCCAGTAACTGATGGAAGCAGATGCAGAGATCCATAGCCAAGCCCTGGGCTGAGCTCCAGTAGTCTTGTGGAAGGAGGAGGAGGGA